CCTCGAACCTACTAGCGATGGCCTCCAACCTACTAGCGATGGCCTCGGACCTACTAGCGATGGCGAACCTACCAGCGATGGCCTCAAACCTACTAGCAATGGCCTCCAATTTGCGCGCACGTCCCAAAAAGATGTCTATAGATTTCTATAGGTTATGTTTTGTTTTCAAGCTTTTGAGATTCTGACCATTATATAATGATAGGACATGACGATTGCCCGCTTGAAGATCAAGGAAGGGTCCATACAGAGGTGGTACGATTCTGCATCGCAATGAGTGCCACAAGTGAGAATTGAGCGGCCAGCATAGGATGTACTCATGTTTGGCCTTTTGGTCTGTCGACGTCTGTCGACATGTCAGGCGAGGGGAAGTCTCTGAACATGAGTAGAGCATCCTATCTCTGATCTAGAATCTAGATTTGACATACCCATGGAGGTATCCTCTATGAAATGAGGTTCCATACCCCCCCCTAAACCTCGTCCATAGGGATGATTTGACCAACATATCCGTAAGTTAACTGCGTACCTTTGGGCCACCAAAAAATCGTTGTTCATACTGCAGTATCAACGCAACACCTCCTCCACCCCGCCTTTTTTGCCCTCGTGAAACCAGGGCCTGAACATGAAACCCTTGTGGAAATTCTTCCCCTATCCTGAAAATGGCCCTCCCAGATGTGAACGTTCCTTGGCCAAAAAAGCTTCGCACATCTCTCCCACCTTTGACTGGTCCCGGTGAAGAGTTCGTCAGCGGCCCCGAAGTTCCCACTCACTGGACCCTTCCTCGGACTGCTGCACCGGCGACCGCTCCCCCCAGGTACCCAGTACCAGGCGTGGAAACGACGCTCGGCATCTCTTTCCTCGCCCTGGCGGTGTCGGTGAACCCGACCGGTGGCGGCTGGCTATCAGAGACCGTCCGAGGACGTCAGTTAGTCTAGGTTTTGGAACCATCATGGCCAGCAGTTCAGTTGGAAGCTGAAGATGGGACACGTCGGGGTGCGGTCACATGCACTGGATGGGTCGAAAGACCACCCCCCGGCCTAGTTCACCAGCATCCAGTGCATCTGAGTGCTTCACGTCTCATCTGAGTTGACGCACTGCATGGTTCCATGATGTTCCATGCATTTGCCTAACCGTTCTTTTTCTGCATGGTTCACCCTTCAGGACCTGGCCATTCGTCTCATTTCACCCGGACCCTCCCTAGAAACCCTTCAGAATCTCTTTGCCAGCACCGTTTCTCGGGGACACCGAGCGTTCAGTCCTGAGCCCCCGGCCGCCTTCCGCGCCACTGCCGCGCCCGGCCGCGCCGACTTCACGTTCGAGGCCACGACGCGGCGGTGGCCAGCGTGGCGCAGCTCTTCCAAAGATTGGAGGAGCTTTCCCGATCCATGCAGGACGCGGTGTGGTTGAATCATCCTCTCGTGCGTGACGCGGACGTGTTGGGGTGGGGTAAACTTGCTCAATTTTCTAGAAAGGAGGAGGGTGGATGATGTGGGGACATGGAAGCAAGTGACTATGGCTGGTATATTTATTATTGAAGTATGTACTGTATAGCTATATATATGCCTGTGCCTGCATTGACCTCCGAAAACCACCCCAATGTACATATGCCATAATATGCGGAGTGTTTGAGAAGTGGATGGTGGATCTTTGATGAGCAGCTCATGCTTCCCATCGCATCCCAGGGTTCTAGTGTCATAACGAGGGTTGTTCGTTCTTGTATCAGAGGGAGAGGGAGCCCCTTTCTATTTGCACCGGAGTGTGCCAAGATCGCTTCCGCAGATCAATTGCTGACTTGAGTACTTCTTCCATCACGAGCTGGGAACTTATCCAATAAATTCCAACCCCCAAGATCACTGAGAGGTGGTTATTAAAGATGAAAGACAATATAGCGACTAGGATGGTACTAGATCCCTCCATTTGCCTCATGTTCTTGGAACAAACACTTAAAAAGACAATTAAACAAACAGACTGCAATATACTGTATAATATATATATATACATCTATATATATATATACATATAATGCCTGCCAGCATGCCTTGGCAATCCATCATCCATCATCTAGCTGCTGTATTCTGAGCATTTTCATCCACCTCCCCACCGCGGATGGCGGCGCCAAATTCCACCCGGTACCCAACGGGCCAACATGTTCCACTGGAACATAGCTCCGAAAGGATTGGGTGAACTCCACTTCCCATGACTCAAGAAGGAAACCACGTGCATTCCACCATCCCTTGAAGCCTTGTGCCTCCTTCCACCTCTCTCGCCCTCACAAGGATGACCAGGTGTGCAGCGAAAGCGAGCTCTTGGAGTTGCGCCAGGAGCGGAATGCCTTGAAGGACCGAACTGTACTGCGGCTCGCGCCGGCTCTGTCGGAGGCGAACGGGCAAAGCAAAAAAAACAGGAGTCGCATGGAACCGGTGTTGAGTCCCCTTTGGAGTGGAGTGGAATTCTTTACCGGGCACCCCTGACCTCCATGAAGCAGCTCTTTGGAACTACTGCAATATATTTTGAATGTGTGTTTCTTTTTTGGGGGTTTGTCTGGTCAGTGGGGTGGGGTCGAAGTGGGCAATGAGCAAGCTCCCGTACAGAAACCATATGAAACAGACCAGCAGTTCTACCATGTTCCTAGCAACCTGTTGCCCCCCCCCCAGGCAGCAAGGGAACAGCCGCGAGTAACCAGGCTAGGCTCCATGGCTGCAGGATCGCTTAGAAGACGCTGTCAGCAGCCTCCGGCAGCTCTCAGCTCGTGCGGCCCTTCTGCAGCCGGCCGCCGCGGACGCGGGTCCTGCGGGTCCCGCGGAGCCCACGGCGGGCGCGGGCGCCGCCGAGCCGTCGGAGTTGCAGCGTCGGGTGTGGCAGGCGGAAGGTGCCTGCAGCAGAAGGTGTGGAGAGACTGGAGAGGGTTGAGAACTGATGGGTGAGAACTGAGGCCACTGGTTTTGTGGCCAGGAACTTGAGGTACTTGTTGGGTCGCGAAAGTGAGGGCACTTCTTCGCATCCACTTCGAACAGCCGTCGGATATGTATAATAACTATAATGATATATAAATATATAGCCGATGGCCTACGTAGTTGCATCTAGGGTGGTAGTTTTGCGTTTCATCCAGTCAGTCTGTTCATACGGACGCTCAGCGCCGCAGCCAACTCAAGTTATACAAATGACTATATTGATGACACATGCAAGAAATTGAAATGCAAGATCTTATAATACAAATAACACGGACGGCTCAGACGTTTTTCACTGTTGATTGGTTCAAAAGGCATTTTTGGGGGAGACAGCGATTTTTGTTGGGCGAGTGCTTGTTCGAAAGGCATGAACCACCAGGGGGGAGGTTTTGGATCGCAATCAGAGTTTTTCAGCCATTTGGAAGCTGTGGTTGATCCTGTTGAGATGAATCATGGGCAAGGGGATCACAGCTAAGTGGCCTATAGAGGAGTTGAGATCACTTTTCTTTGTTTCTTTTTTTTGGGGGGGGCGGTCAACTCTCAGACCACCGTTGGTGGCCGTGATGAGCAGGGGGGGGTCCCAAAGACCTGGGGCTGTGCACAAACCACCTTGGTCCAACCAGGGCTATCCAGGGCTCCCAAGGTCCCAGGGGGAGGATGCTTCGAACACGGCGATCTTAGAGGTCGAAGCCACGTCGGACCCACCTACTGGTCCACCTGTTCCACGTTCTTCCATGTTTTTGTTTGGGATCAATCGACTGAACATTCAGCTGGGGCTCTTTGTTTGGAACGGGGGGGCTCTGCAGATAGATGGATAGATAGATCAATAGATATATTGATCGATAGAGAGAGAGAGAGAGAGATTGAAGCAGAGATGGAGGTGAATCTATTCCATGGAGTCCTTTTCTTGGAGGACGGTCGGCCACCCCAAAAGGGTGGGACGGTCGAACACCGGGTGTGGGACGGTCGGTGTCCGCCCGGGAACTGCTGAAGGTGAACTCCAAGAGTTGATCCTGGGCCACGAAGAAACGATCGTGCCCAGGGCCCGTGACCGGGGGGATACCGGGATACCTATCAAAAAGAACATTGATTCCTATCAGATAGAAATTATTGCTATCAGAAAAACATAAATTCGTATCAAAAAGAACATTCCTTCTACTCCTTTGGTCCTGGTCTGCTGGTTCCCTGGTCGCTTGGTCCTTTGGTCCCCTGGTCCCTTGGTCCTTTGGTCCCTTGATCCTCTGGTCCCTTGGTCCTCTGGTCCTTTGGTCCTTCGTCCTGGTCTTCCGGTCCTTGGGTCTGTACTTTCGAGGCAAGACGTGTTCAAGGTGATTTGAAAATCTGGTCATACATCCTGTGAAGCACTGTAGCAGACCTCTTATCACCAGACGTAGCAGACCTTTTTTGTGAGCCACCTGAGGGCAAAATTTAGAAGAGGAAGGCGCCATTCCAACGTAGCAGGCCTTTGTTTTGTGAGCAATCCGAGGGTAGAATTTGCTATTCCAACGTAGCAGACCTTGTGTGAGCCACCCGGGGATAAACTTTAGGTGCCACGCCAAGGTAGCAGACCTTTTGTGAACAACATTGAGAGGAGCAGTAGACCTTTTGTGAGCTGTGCGAGGGCAAACTTTACAGGAACAGACCTGCTGCCAGCATAAACTGTAGAGGAGGAAGGTGCCATTTCAACATAGCAGACCTTTGTGAGCCATCCACAGGTCTTGTGGTTTCGAGATTCCGAGATGTTTTGAGATCCATCAACAGAAACCTAGAGGTCTGAAATTCAGAGATCACGGTTGAGATGCAGAGAGATCTACATCTACAAGGATCCAAAGGCCTGGAGATCCAGACGGATCTACCCACAGATCTAAAGATGGAGGTTTAGATGTCTTGAGTCTTGAGATCCAGGCAGGTCTTGAAATCTAAGTTCTAGGGGTCTAGACCTCCAGAGGGTGCCACGAAGTCTGTGCTTATAGACTGCAGAGGTTCACCCAGCGCCGCGCTTGCCACGCAATCTGCACTTCGAGGTTCACCCATCGCTGCGCCTGCCACGCAATCTGCACTTCGAGGTTCACAAAGTGTTCCGCCTGCCATGAAATTTGCAGTTCCGGTGCGCAAGGTGCTGCGTCTGCCACGAGCCCTGAAGGTGCTCAAAGTGCTGTGCCGCCACGAGATCTGCAGTTCCAGTGCGCAAAGTGCCGCTCCTGCCACGAAACCTGCTACTGGAGGTGCTCAAAGTGCTGTGCCTGTCACGAAATCTGCACGTCCAGTGCGCAAAAGGCCGCTCCTGCCACGAAATCTGCTACTGGAGCCTGCCACGAAATCTGCACATCCAGATTCACATCGCGCAGCGCTTCCAAGGCGGTTCGCAGTGGCATGCGCCGCTCTTTGTGCAAGGATATTTTGTTTTGATGCCAACGAACTTTCTGTTTGATAGGATATGGATTTTTTTAATTAATATTCATTTTCTTTCTGATAGCCCGGCCAGGGTGGGGCCCCGCTGGCCGGAGGGTCACCACGGGTACGACTTGAACGGATTTAGAAGAGCTGTTGGTGCAAGAGGTTCAGAATGTTCTTGAAAAGGTGTTGGGGCCCACAATGATTTCAGACTAAATAGTTAGGATATGAGGCGAGGGTCCCTTTCGGATGGCTGCGTGGTTGCCAGACTCTGCCAAGAGAGAAAGAGGGAGTAACCAGGCTTGGCCAGGAAAGATTGACACTGGGGTTCCAGATTGGATAAGCAAGCAAGAATCCGCGGCTCAATGGATATCATCGCGATTCTGCGTTGTTTCATAACTTGGCCTCCCATGTCTTCACGGCACCCGACTGAGGCCTTGAGGAGGACCCCTCGACACAACCAACCCACAAATGTAAATGGGTTGCATTGAGGAGACCGCTTGACATAGCCGACATAGCCTTCATCCAAGGGTTGACGATAGCACTGGGGCTTTCAAGAGGGTCCGATAAGGGAGATTAAGTAGATGTTGAAGCACTTGGTGCGGGTTCACGGCAAGCATATCATTCATCCAAGCATCTCCACGAAAAGAAAAACTCAACATGAAGTTCCACTCATGTTTTCACTCATGAAGTTCCACTTGCCCATTGTTTGTTGAGGGCTGCCACTTGCCAGAGACCCCCATGGCCCACTCCCCCCCCCAGGAAACGCATGGAAAACCTCCGGCTCCAGCGGATCCAGACGCTGGAGCTTCATCAGGCCGGACGGATCGGCGTTCGGCCATGAGGGCGGCAGAGTCTTCAGACCTGATAGAGGAGTCCTTATCATTTTTTTTTGAAGCTGGGGGGTTGGTTTTGAGTCGATGCTCCTGTTCCGAACACTGTTCTTGGACATTTGGATTCCAGGGCATGACAAGTGGACGAGGGGAGGGATTCCCTTGGCGCATGGATGAGTTGATGGATGGTAAGATGCATGGTGCATGTGGATGTTTTCCTGCTGTCGCGGACAGTAACTGGGAACATAAATGCTCAGTGTGGTCTTGCGTTGAGCCGTTGAATATGTTCGATCATGTTCAATTGGCGTTTTGTTCTTCATGTTCTTAACACATAGAAGATGTTTTCATGCACAAGGCAACGCTGAGGATTCCCAAATTGAAGTCTTGGAGGATCACCATAAGACATGGCCGAAGGTCGAGTTTCTTTTTATAAACAGCGTTTGGCAATGGAATAGCATGGAATACCCCCGTACAGTATGCGTGGATTTTTGTTGGGCACCCTTTGCGAATGTCCAGGTGGTCAGTCATTGGTTATCATGGTTATCATGAGAGCCTACTTTGTCCGGGTTGAGGTTGGGCCCATGGGCGACCGAACGTTTTCTTCATGTGCCCATTCCGACACGGACACTGGGTCACACATGTTTGGTTTGTACCCACCAGGGTGTGTTTATGAAACAACATGGGTGAAGTTGAAGCCGGATTGATTCATGTTGACCAACAACCCCATGTGTCGCTTTTCATGCACTGACACCCACACCCCAGAAACACCAACCTGTGCATGCGCGAGCCCAATGGGTGGACCATGGTCGACTGGTCGATGTCAACCGTCACCAGCGGGTCAAGATGGGGTCGGTCGCCTGGGTTTGAGCACCCCCACATCCCTCCACATCGCCAGGAAAGTCTTGTGGAGCAGACCACATGGGCCACCGCCACGTCCTCGGTGTCCGGCGAGGATGCGAGGAGGACGCTGCAGAGCCTGGAGCAGAGCGTGGCAGAGCTCCAGGCCCAAAGTGACCGGGGAAGGGGTCGGCATTGGCCCAAATCGAAACGATTTGGATGTGTTTCCCCTGCTGCTGAGAGCTTGGCCATTCTTTTTTAACCCTTTTAGAGGAATGGAGAAAGCACGAAGACACCTCCCTGAGAGACCTTGCCCTTGGCAGGGCCAGGCCAGAAGCACCGGCTCGTCGTGATTTGAGTGCTTTCGATCCGAGATCACGGCGCCGTGGTAGGCGAGTGTGGTGGCCAAGAAGGATCTTTTGGAGGAGACGCGCGAGCGGAGCCAAAAGGGTCAGCGCTACATCCAAGCTTTGCAGCAGCAGCAGTTGCAGCTGGTCTCCCAGGCTGGACTGCAGCGGGTGGCTTAAGGGGCAAGCTAGGGAGCTACGGGGATCCACTACACGTCTTTAGTTCCCTAAACTAGTCGTGGCCACACTAGGGGCTCATACAGTGTGCGGCCACTTTTTGTCTTTTATATATAAACATGTTTTAAAGGAAGCCAAGGAGCTGCGTGTTTTTTCCTTAATTAACGTCCTTCTACTCACTTGCTATATAGCAGTCTCATGGCGCCATTCGCGCCTCATGGCGCCATGGTGTGTTCACATGAGGCGGACGAGCGGGTGCTGCGGAACCCTCGGCCGCCGCGCTCTGCAACGGCCGTGTGATGCGCGAGACAAAATGCAGGGGCGAAGAGAGGCTGATGCGTTCTCAGGGTACACTCAGTGGGTACGCATCAGAGAAGTCGAGGGGAGATGATGGGAGCAAATCTGAGCATCAACAAAAAAACACATATATTTGTGCAACATCACTACACAACCCACAAGCATCAGTAACATGTTGTTTCATCACACCAGGCACCATCTCATCCTCAAAGACGTTCATCGGCTCCCCATGCCCCGCCTGGGGGCCGAGGCGCTTCTACGAGACGCGCCGCGGCTTCCGGCAGATGGCCGATCGTTTGGCCCTTCCCGAGGCGCACCTGGAGCCAGAGAGGTTGGGTGAGGTTGGGTGAGGAAGGATGGAACATGGGAAGGCCAGAATTCTGAGTTGCCTGAGTTGCTGTTCAAAGAATGCTATAACAATCTATAACATGCAGCTGAGGTTGAGAATGGATTGTATGATGTTGAGGGAATGGTTATCCGCATAGCGAGATCGACCAGTCCACAGTAGCGCTTGTGTGATGGTCAGTCATGTAGCCTAAATGTTCCGAAGCCTTCACTTCTGCAGCATGTCACTATATGTGACTCCTTTTGAATGCACTTCAACATGTATTGAAACCGCTTGACTGCTACAGCTTCTGGAGGTTTTGTCAAGCTTGAACCGTGCCAGCAAATCCACCCAGAGGCCCGGTTCAAGCGCTTCGTCGCTCCACCCGATGCGCTGGGTAACCGCATGTTCAAACGACCACCCCAGCAGACAAGCCATGGGCAGCAAATCTGTTGGACGGGAGGTTTTTTTCCCCAGGATTTCCCTGAGAGTGCGTCATTGGCCAAATGCAGAGATGGGCAGAGACAGTCATTCGCCCACTCAACAAGTAGTTGCAATTGAGGTGCTGGGTCATTCTGTAAAGATTTCGCAGCAGCTTTGATTCAGCGTCCCCGCAAATTTACGAGATTGCACACCTCACCACTGAAACGAGATTAAGCTTTACTCCAAGAAAAGCGGCCGCTTTTGTTATTTTGGCGCCCCGTGGCTCATTCCCATGGCGCGACCCAACAGCGGCGTGGGGACACAGCGGTCCCGCTGGCCGCTGCTGGCGGCGATCCTGGTGCTGTGTGCAGTGCTGTGGCAGAGGCCCCGTGCGGCGGATGAGCGGCGGTGAGCGGGGTGAAAGTCGCCGGTCTGGCGAAGGTAGATGAGGACCAGTAGCTCGGTGCATCCATCAAGCAGTTCGGTGCATCCATCAAGTGCACCTACTGCGAGTAGATCGGATCAGCCTACACCATGATGGCCATGATGACCTCATGCAACGCCATCGACCGATCGGTGGGTCAGATGTTGGGAGGTGGGAGGGGGTTCCGGAGGGGGTTTTGTGATCGGATTCCTTTCTGGCCATTCCTGCCAGATGTTCAACCAATGCGGAGGGCAGTGGCTGACCAAGAGAGCCAGCAATTCCATGGAATCGGGGTGGTTTGGGTGGTTTTGAGCCCCATCCAGCTGAGAGGAGGTGACCTGCCATGGAACTGCTGGATGCGATGTCCCCTTGCTTCATTGGAGGATGGATACGTTCACTTGATGTTGGCCCCCGTGGTGTTTGGTGTTACTTTGATTGCTGATTGCTTGCAGGGCTTTAGGCCTTGCCTGGGCGTTTCTGTCCTCTAGCCGTGGCTTGGGCCGCCGCACCAGACGCTGGGCGTGAGAAGGAAGAGTGTTGTTCAAGAGCTTTGAGCAGCTGGAGTTCACAAGATTGGGAGCCGTCTCTAATCGTACTGTTCCAGTGGTTCCAGCTTGAATTTTGCACTTGCGGATCCAATCCATAATATAATATAATTCCAATGATGGAGGCCACCAAATCTGTGATGAACCGGATCCGAAGATAGTCGTCCACTGTTGACATTTTCGGGCATCTCACTCTCTCAGCTTATATAAATTTAAAAATAAACTCAAATAACAAATAATATACTGTATATATGGTATACATATTGAATTATATGTATTATTTACCTCGTATGAATATATACCAGGGCCTGGGCCCGTTAAGGGGTGTCTCATTATAGCTCCTTGGAGGTTAAGGGGTATCCATTAACCACTCCTTGGGGGGGCCCTGGTATAGAACTGTAATATTCATATTGTGTAACTATTGCGGCGTTGTCAGCTATTGTCGCAGGGTGCCTAGCCCTGCGCTGTGCATCGCCCCAAAAAACGAGCTGTTTCTGGTACGGAAGATGTCAAAACCTGGATTCCCAAACATCCCAAAACCACGTCCCTTGTAGTTTGTTCATTTGATGGTCCTTTGTCAAATTAACTATGACACTCCCACTCCCACATCAATCATCATGGCACCTGTATGGTGGTATTGTCATCGTTTCGGTTCCATGCGGTCCACTTCCATGTTGAAGGAGTGAGCAGTGTATATGGCAGGGAATGCGAACGACCCAGCGGCCGTGGATGTGCCTGTCTTCCCAGGCCAATGCTCGCCACTGCGATGCCAGGCCGGCATGGCATTGTGACCGCCTTGAACCTCGTTGCACCAGCGCCGAGGTTTTCGGTTTCAATGGTGTCCTTTCAATGTGAGACGGTCGAGCCACGAAGGAGCCACCATTTCGGTGCAAGAGCCGAAGGAGCGTCGACAGCTTGGGGCTGCGACTAGGAGTTCTTTCTTGGAAGGTGTGTGGACTGTGTGGACTGCGGATGAATCAAGCATCCAGGAGCTTCTCAAGTATTTTCCAACCATGAGGTGCTCACATGAATTCCTGTAAATGGTGATTCCTTCTGAGTCTTTTTCGATTTGCCAAATCCTGGTCTAAATCCCCATCAGCTTTTTGAACACCATTCACTTGGGACGGTCTCAGGGATCGATTTGAGGCATCACACCTCATGCGTCGCTGTGGACGCCCGTCGCTGAGTCAGATCACAGGCGGAGCGCCCCTCGAAGCCCAGCATGGACTATCCACCTCCGGCGGCGTCCTTTGGAAGATGAAGGAGCGGACTGGGTGGCCGGGCGGCGCAGACGCCCGTCGGAAGTACCAGCTGAGCGAAGTTCGCCAGGTTTGGACCGCAGGAATTTGGATCAACTTGCGGAGTCCTGGCAGATCTCGAAATGAACCTACATGAAGCGACCTTCCAAGAGGTGTCCAAAAGAAGTCGTAGATGAAATGGTGTAGATGGCGTAGGGGTCCCTGGTATAGAGACACAAGACCGCGCTGTTGGTTCACAAGGGGCCACACAGGCCACTGGGGCTCAGATTCCCTTGAAAACTGGAATCAGATAGCCCCTCAGCAAAGTTTCAGATCACCTGTTAGTTTCTATGACGATGGACTTACTAAGTCAAGAGGGCTACGCAGTAAAGACCATAAGACCACTGCTAGGTTCAGGGAATGCTGATTGGTACCATGGCCATATGAGCACACTATGGGGGGGCTTGACTGTCAGCCGTCCACATGATCAATCAGAATATAGGATGCACCTTTTACTTGAAGTTCCCACTTGAAAATTCGATGAAATTCCTACACAAATATAGTGATAGCCTGTGCCTTGGGAAGGGGGGCAAAGACATGCTAAGACATCCATTTCCCGCAAAAGCTCCGCAGCTCCACCGAGTGTTTGCTTCCGCTGGCCCTTTCAAACTCCCAAAGCCCCGACCAAAGGCTATGCTGGAGCCCATCCCCTTCAGTATCCTTGCCGCGCCCTCACCGAGGTCCATCGCTTGGCCGCGCTACCTCTCCTGGTTGGGCTTCACGGTGGGCGCGCTGCAAGGCCTGCGCCGGAAGCTCTTCGGCGGCGCTCAGGCCCGGCCGCACAGACCGTTCGTGGTCCCAGAGATGCGGTTTGGAAGGGGGACAACCTGCAGGAAACCTCATATAGTTAGAGTTCTGGCCATGGTTGTCCTGTTGTCTTAAAAGCAATCCACATGCATCAAGGAGACGGAAAGGCTGGGGGTGGGGTTCCAGGACTTTGGGAAGGAAGTCCGACCAAGTCTTAGGCCGATTCGCAGTGGCAAAGTTCCACACAGGTATCCGGACCTCTGGTTCTGCTACAATGCCTATTTGGTTGTCAAAGACCTCATTCTTTTCCCGGAGTATCTCATTTTCAGGACCAGGAGACTGGACCTGGGTCAGACTGCACCTGGTGGCTGCCTGGGTGAAAACCACCAACGACCTCGGGTCCCAGCCTTCCTGCGTCGGCTGGCTGGGTAGAGAGGTGAAACGACACGCACCTTCGGTGGCCGTGGTCCCCAGCTCCTTATACAACTCCAGTAGGCCATGTGATGTGTCCCGTGGTGGGTGTGCAATAATTGACATCCCCTCCGGCCCTCCGGTTACGAGATGTTTGTTTTTTATTTGCGTTTGCATGTTTTGCTGGGAGTGACTGGAGTGGTCAGGCTGAAGGAGAAGCCAGCTTCTTCAGTACGTGACCTTGTTGGAGTCCCATCCAGTGACCTTTTGCAGGTCCAAGATGGTCTAAGTGGCCTCCAACCCGGGGATGAAAAGGATTGAAAAGGTCATGTTGAAGAACCAGGAGAACATGGTTTTGTAGTGTGATAGGCTGGAGGGATCTGGAGGGTTCATTGTATTCGAATTTTCTTGGAGAAAGTCCACAACTTCGACTTCACCACTCTCCTCTTTGCAACTGTCCAAGAACAACGTGGTCGGACATCACATCAGGTGCGATGACGTGCTTCGGGCTAAGATCGATCCCCAAACGTTTGGGCATACAGAAAAAACATATGGTGCTGGGGCATTCTTTTTCGAAGCGTTCATTGGGCTAGGAAAGGTATGATCCAAATCCAGACCCTTGAGAACAAAAACACGTGGTTTGTAATGGAAACTGGTCATCCAAGGGGCCATTTTCCACTTCCATGATAATTCCAGCCAGTGTAAACATGATCATCGAAGAGTTCATCCTCACAGCCTTGGCACGTCATCACAAGATCCGTTGAGGACCCTTTTCAGGGGTTCTACCTTGCTTATAGCCTTATAGATCTTATAGCCAACTCAACGTTATG